AAGAACCTACCCCTTGAGTGAGGGTAGCTCAATGACACGCTTTACTAGAGTTGCTCTTCATGGCTCCCGCGGGGCGAGCACAATGCCCCTCACAAGCACTTCTCCGGAGCGCCGCACAAGCTTCTTGCAGGCTTCGACGGAGACCACCATCAAGCCGTCTAGGAGGTGGCAACCTCCAAGAGTAACAAGCACCACCGGCTTGCAACTCGATCACCTAGTGCCACTCGATGCAACCTCACGATGCAATCGCACTAGAATCGCTCACTCACACAATCGAATGATCACTATCAAGTATATGTGTGATGGAGGGCTCCCAAGCACTCACGAGCATGGACACTAAGTCCCCTTAGGTGCTCAGCCGCAGCCATGGCCGAGGGCCACTTCTATTTATAGCCCCAAGGGCTAAACTAGCAGTTACCCCTTCACTGGGCAAATGTCGGGACGACAGGACGCTCCGGTCCGATCGACCGGACGCTGGACCACAGCGTCCGGTCGTGCGATGCACGCCACATGTCCCCTCCTTCAAACGTTGTTCATTGGATCTCAACGGTCATCTGTTGACCGGACGCTCCAGCATGAACTGACCGGACGTAGCAACCCCAGCGTCTGGTCGTTTCCAGTAAGGTTCCAGAAATGACATTTCACGACCGGATGCGTCCAGTCGATCGCGATCGGACACAGCACCAGCATTCGGTCACTCTCCAGCTTCTGCTCTGCCTGCGTCACTATACGTCAGCTCTGACCGGACGCTCACAGCCAGAGTCCGGTGCTTTCAGACCCAGCATCCGGTCAGTAGACCGACGCCAGCGTCTTCGCGATAAACTCGTTTTCACTTCTAACTTCTTCACCCTTGCTCCAATGTGCCAACCATAAGAATTTGCATCCGGCGCAATAGAAAATAGGCATTCCATTTTCCCGAAAGCGCCGAATCCATCTCAACCCTGCAAACACCACATCCTTTGTAAATGTGCCAACACCACCAAGTGTACACCACCATGTGTATGTGTGTTAGCATTTTCACAATCATTTTCCAAAGGATTAGCCACTCAACTTGCCACGCCACTCGATCTTAGCAACGATGCAAAGTTAGATCACTCGAGTGGCACTAGATGATCGATATGCAAACAAGTTTGCCCCTCTTGATAGTACGGCCATCTATCCTAAATTCGGTCATAAACTTCTCTACACACCTATGACCGGTGAAATGAAATGCCCTAGGTTATACCTTTGCCTTGCGCATTCCATTCCATCTCCAACGTCGATGCAACACATGCACCAACACGATCAACAATGATATGATCCACTTCATATCATCACGTGATCATATTGGTTCATCGATCTTGACTTCACTTGCTCTTCACCGTTGCCATTGTCCATCGGCGCCAAGTCTTGCTTAAGCTTCACCGCCACGTGGTCCATCACTTCAAAGCCTCCGACTTGCCCTTCACGCTTGCAACCGGTCCATCAAGCCAAGTCTTGTCTTGATCTTCTCCACCTTGATCACATGACTCAATGTCATGTCTCATTTGCAATAAGCTCCTTCATCATCACATGTGTGAGCTTTGCAACATCTCCAAGCCATTGTCACCTTCATGGCATATATGTTGCTCACACACATGTATCTGTGGACTAATCACTTGTGTATCTCACATAAACACAATTAGTCCACCTAGGTTGTCACTCAATTACCAAAACCAAACAAGGACCTTTCAACAGCTAGCCCTTGAGCCGCAGCAGCCAAGGCCATGAGGGGAGGGACAGCAGAGAAGAAAGCACCGCCCCCCAGCGCATGCATGGGCCCCGACCACCGCCACCGCCACCGCAACCGCTGTCGGCCGCTAAGACAGATCCGGTAGCCTGAGGTCCGGATCTGGCCCCCCGGGCACCGGATTTGGCCGACTGGGCCCCAGACCGGCGGCCTCAGCCAGCGCCGCCGCCGCCATCAAGAGAGGAGAAGGGGAACGCGCGGAGAAGAAGAAGACCTCGCCGCCGTCCCCTGCGCCTGCACGGACACCAGCCGATGCTGCAGCAGCCGTGGCAGCCACCTCGTCAACCTCCACGCCGGTCGCGCGGGGCCGGACTACCGGCCTGCTGTAGGTGCGCCGCCAACATGAGGAGGGAGAGCCCCGCCACCACCATCACAGCCAGCCAGGCGGCCATGCCGGTAGCCAGCTCCGGCGGCGGCACGGCGGGCGAGGAGGAGAGGGGTGAGAGGGAGGCGGCGCGGCAAGGGCCGCCCGAGTCGCCCCGCGTGGGGGAGCGACGCAGGCGTCAGTCCTACTCAATGTTCGTAGAAAGCTTCCAAAGCATCCAAATTCAAGGAAATTCAATGCACTCACGTAGTAATCAAGTATTCAAATTTGCAGCCAATAGATCACAAGGTGGGATGCAATGCAAACATAGTCCTTTCATTTGGTGTTATAGTCAACACTTTTTTCCCATGAATCAGAGTCACCTTCTCCGTGTCCTACATCACAGAACAGAAGCAGAAAGAGGTTGATCTGATGCCGGACGAGGGACGATGTGGAAACGACAAGCCATGGCTACACGCTATGGTCTATGGATTTCATATTTTCATGACGGTCTCGGGTCGAGAGTGTGCTGGTGGTGAGGGAGGGAGGAAGTAGCGGTTCACGGCGAGGAAGAAAGATATTTCATCCGTGTTTTTCTTTTCAATTTTGAAACGGGCCCACTTAAAAGCCGGCCTTGGCCTCATACATAGCAGGGGTGGATTAAGGTCCGTTGGACCCATCTTACGATTGGGCTGCATGTCCTTACCCGGCTTTGGCTAGGGCCTAGGGTGCTAAAGTGATTTAACCATTATTTGAACCAAAAATCTAGTTTAGCCCCCCTTTGGCAGGGCTCATCGAGCGGCTTCTTGAGCGGCTCATGGTGAAGCCCTACCAAACGCTATAACTCAAAATGGCTCACGAGGAAAAGCCAGGAGAAGCCCCATCTTTTCCGCTCTCTAGGTTCTTCCACCGATGAGAAGCCAAAAATAGTAGCTCATACAGGCTCATTCCTCCACCTCACGAGCCAAAGTATGCATGTGCCCTTGCTATTTCACAGAAAGTACAACATTTACCATCAGGCAAGCCTGCGAGCTCAGCAGCAGCGTGGAGGCAGCGGCGGGGGTGGTGGTCGGCGGACGCCATGGCGGCCGGCGGCGCGTGCGGAGCCCACGGCCGGGCCAAAGCTCAGCAGCCGAAGTGGAGCACGGCGGTGTGCCGAGGCCACGGCCATGTTGGATCTCGGCGGCGTGCCGAGGCCACGACCATTGCGGAGCTTGACTGCGCGAGCGGAGGCGGCATCCATGGCTGGCCTCGAGTTCCGCCCCGCCGGCCTCGAGCTCCAGCTCCGCCCCACTGCTGGCCCTCCCTGCTCCGCCCCACCGCCGGCCTCGAGCTCCCCCGCTAGCCTCCTGCTACGCCCGAGAGAGAGAGAGAGGGGGGGGAGGGAGGGAGTGGGTGACAGGATAAGGAGTGTGGCCGTTCAGATAAGGACAACCACGGAGAAGGAAAGAAAAAGAAAAAAAATAAAAAGAAAAGAAAAATGAAAAAAATAGAGAAAAAATAATAAGGGTATTTTGGACATTTGACATCTTCTTTACAACTAGGAGAAACTGTTTTGCCAAACGTTTTCGTACAAATAAGCCAGAGCCAGAAAAAACTGCTTTTCCATGTGAGCAAATAAGCCAGAGCCAGAAAAAACTGCTTTTCCATGTGAGCCAGAGCCAGAGCTATTTTTTCACGAGCTAAAGCTGTGCCAAACGGGCCCTTAATACAAGCAAGACAAACCAGAACTTTCTATCAGAATTCTACAGCCTGTTCGCTTGCTCGTAAATGATCGTAAATTTTTAGCCGGGAACAGTGTTTCTCTCTCACACCAAACCAGCCAGCAGTAAATAATCCACCATACGATACGGCCTCCTGAACAGGCTGCTAATCCCTGCGTCAAAAGCTACGAAATTACTATAACTTTTTAAATTTTCCCTTAATTTTATTTCAAATCGAACTATTCTAAATTTGATCAAATCTATTGAGGAGAATATTAACCGTATTCCATAAAAAGTGCCAATATAGTCTGGGATGGGAGAGTATTTAATTAGCGTCTATCTATATGTGTATGGTGTGAAAGTATGTGCGGGTTGTCTAGTCGTGGGCGTGTTTGTTAACTATAAACATGTTTAATTACTTCATCCATTCTAAATTGCAAGCTCATTTTAGTTTTGTTCTAAATCAAAGTTTGCTAGTTCTAACTATATTTATGAAAAAAAATCATAAACATACACAACATCAGATAATATTTATGGATACACCATAAAATAAATTTTGATCGTGCATTTATTTGATATTGTAGATGTTAATATTTTTCTATAAATTTTGTCTAAAGTCAAAGTTAGACATGGTTGATTTAAGTCAAAACTATATTTCCTCCGTTAAAATTACAAGTAGTTGTGGCTTTTCTAAGTACGTAACTAAATATAATGTCTAGATACATTATAAAAGCTACTCCCTTAATCCTAAAAAAATTAGAATTTTTACTTCTCAAGAGTCAAACAATTTCAACTTAAACTACCTCAATACAAAAAGTACTAGCAATTTTTATATAAAATAAGGATCATTAGATGAATATAAAATATATTTTATAGTAAATCTATTTGAAGACGTGTTGATATTTTTTTCCTCTAAAATTGTTTGACTAGTAGCAAATTTAGAATTGTATTTTTTTTAGGATAGAATAGAAAAATACAAAATGATTTATAATTTAGAACGGAGCGAGTACCGTTTAAACGGAGAGTACATAAAAACAAGTTTATTTCAGGTTTACTTCAAATTTTTAGTGGTGGATATGCCGAAATGGCCGTACACACCAATAGAACAGGGAGGAGATCTTTTGCTCTCACGCAACAAACGGTTTGGATAGAACTTTTTCTGCTTCTCCGTCCTTCGGTCTAGCCCGAGTGGACGTAGGAAGAGGGGGCTTGACGCCGGCGAGCCATGGCGGGGGCTCTCCTCTCCTCTCCTCACTCTCTCCCGAGCCCCAGTTCTCAGTCCTCGCTTCGCCCCAGGCACGCGCTCGCTCCGCCGCTTACACGATTCCCTACTCGCCGCCCATTCGTGTTACTGTGCACAGAACACCAACCCTCCTTGACTGCGTTCCTGATTGTTGGTTCCTGGGGATTGCGCAGGAGCAGGGGACCGCTCGGCGCTGGGGCAGCGCGTGTTCTGCCACCGAGGAGGAGGGCCTGTGTGCTCTCTTCGTGCTCTCGCGAGCCTGCCGCCAGGAACCGCGGCTTGGAGGTGGAGAGGAGGCGCCTTCTCATGTCCGGGCTCGTGTCTTCTTTCACAATCGTGCTCCCGATTTCAGGTTGAGTTTACGGGAAGGGGAAGCCTCCGCTCCTCATGATTCTTTATTAACTCAGTTCACCAGTTCGGCTCTTCTGGATGGAAGAGTTAGCATTTTTATTCTATGCTAATTTCCACACGCTGAATTTGTCAGGCGTGTCAGTTCTGAGGCATGGGATTGCAAAATTTAGAGTAAAATTCATGAGCTGTACCTTTTTATGAATATATGCATAATGTGCTTCTTTTCTCGAAAGATCAATTTTTGAATGCTCATAAGTGCTTTGCTCGCAACAATTATGTAGAAGCATATGCTGTCATGGAGACTGATGAAGACGTGAAGATGAACACACAAGTTGATGAGATCAATGCATACTCTTTTCTTTACCCGGTTGAACTGCCAGGAAAGAAATTTTCCTTCAAATGGTATTTCAGTTGTTTGCACTACAATATTTTGTCCAATCTACTGTGTTGTCATTCTTAGCCTGTTGTTTGTGTACTTAGTGGTTTCTCATGGCTTCTCATGAGAACTAGGATAAAACTTGTCACTTACAAATTACTATCCTATTATTCTGTTCCTAGGGTAGAGTCCAGAAAACCAGAGCGATATTCCTCTGCAGCGCCACTATCACGTGAGTAGCTTCTGGCATAACAATGATAAGAAATGGTCTTATTACTTTGTTCACATGAATGAACTAGATTATTAGGCATAAGGACTTCCACAATTACGCTTTTTGAAATAACCATATATTTCGTAATGTAGCAAACTGACTAGGTCTCTATGCAGCTGATGCACGGCAACGTATTGTATCGGAGCGAGTTGACATGATACATAATGTTGTCATCTCAGTCTCGGTAACTCCTCAAATACTCTATGATACTAGGAAATGCATAAATCTGCAATTTGTTGGGCTGTACTAACCCAATATCATCTTTTAATAGTTAAGTTTCTTTATTTTGTTATTTTTGCAAATTGCTGTGTCTGTGACTAAATATTTCATTTTCGGTGCAAATTGTTATGTGGCTTGATTATTTGGATGGGAAATACATCAGTTGAAACTCTGAAAAACAAATTTGAGTATACATGCTAACATCCACAATTTTTTCTGTTGCAGATTGGGCCACCGAATTCACGTTTTTTGCCTTCAAAAGACAAGAGCTCGTGGGATCCAAAAGATGTTGCTGATTGCATTTTGTCTGATAGATCTACCCTGGTACATACTTTTTGGCTTTCTTTTAGATATGCCATTTCTTGCATTTCTTTAGCTAAATTGTGTCCTTCAAACTGTATAGATTAATAAAAGAAGGATCTGAGTAGTTTATCAGATACATCCAGAAAGCAAATAAATGCAGAAATTTAAATTCTTATGTTCCTTAGTTATCTCTCTGTGTGTCATAAGAAGCATGTGTATTGTCTCATGGAGTGAAGCAAAGATGAGCACCATTGCTTGTAACTGTGAGCTTATAACCCAACAATGTAACTACCATTACCAGCTTTTGCCGGAATCTGTGGTGATGAAATTGAGGTGGGGATAGTTCATCCCTCCTGGTGATATCCTCAAAAAAAAAAAAAAAGGATAAGCATGATAGAACTTTCTGTCATGCGCTGAGCAGTTAATACATCTAGAAAGCTGATTCAATCAAGCATAAATCTAAACTCAGATGCGCCTTAGTGTCAAGTGTGTCATAGGAAACATGCACATTGTCTCATGGACTGAAGCAATGGTGGTTGCTAAATAACAAAGTATAAATAATCCATAGAACTGATCAGAGATTCATTGTCTCATGGACTGAAGCAATGGTGGTTGCTAAACAACAAAGTATAAATAATCCATAGAACTGATCAGAGATTGTTGACATGCTGAAAAGGTTTAAGTTCCTTGAATGCAATTTTTAATGTCGATATTTGACATATTGATTCTACACCGAACTTTGTCACCTTGTAGAAGGTGACGACTGGCCAGCGCATGACAGAGAGTTCTGTTCTTGATGCACACGCTACAAAGGTAAGCTCTGACCATTGCTATCATCCTTTAAGAGTACTTTCGTTTTTCGGAGTTGACATGCACCAGTACATATGGAAAATTACTTGTAGGTTGACGGAGAACCATACTGGTATTATGAGTATCTTGTTCGGAAATCACCAACAAAATCTGTAAGTTTCCTGGCACATATACATTTGACAACAAGTATACTTTTATGAAGAGTGTCAAAGAGAGGCATATGCTTAGACTAAACTTCATGGTGCACTGTATTAACTATTTGATATCCAAGTAGTGCATAAGGCGGCTTAGATGTTCTTAATGATACTCGTTGTTTCATCAGGCACCAGAACCAAATTTGTTTCGACACAATGTAGCCTGCACTGCTGAGCGTGATGGTATTACTTCATCTTTCCAGTTTTTGTCATCGACCATTCACTCCCTTATATTTGAAGTATTTCTTTGTTCACTCACCTTTTTTTCTTTCTTTCTTTTAATAGGGTACCTGTACTCACTGAATGCTTCCACCCTTAGCAAACAGTGGGAATCTGTACGTCTCAAATGTCCCATTGTTCATACCACTTCAGCAAATAAATATTTTTTAGTGTTTGATTTCATTTTGTGACTTCAATAATAGGATGAACATGTATTTTTCATACAAATATGTTTATATATCAGCTTCTAACCAATACTGAATTTTTGCAACACAGATGGGTCCCTTTCTACAACAGACTGTGGCATCCTTTCGCCTTCTCCCCCCTACAGAAAACTATGTTCCTCCCTACAAGGATCCTTGGAGATTTTGGTGAATGGAGATTCTTTTTGTAGTTCCAATTTTTTTCTCTTCAGATGACATTATACCTTCAGGTTTTAGACCATATTTTTTCACACCAGATCTTTAGCGAGTGCCTGTCCTTTCAGCTTGACAGATAAAATTCAGAGATCCAGTTTGGTTTCACCAATCCTGTACGTTCTGATTAATCAACAGTCAAATGCACCTTAAGAATTACTGTGCTCCCTTTGTCCCAAAACAAGTCAACTTCTAGAATCACCCTAAGTCAAACTATATCTTGAGTTTGACCAACTTTATAGTGAAGAATAACAAAAAATTATGACACCAAATAGGAGTAAGTAGATTACGAAAATATACTTCTTGGTGTATCCAGTGATACTAATTTAATGTCATAAGTTAAATAAGTATTAATACTCTTTTCTATAAATTTAGTCAAACTTAAAATAATTTGACTTAGGTCAACTTTAGAAGTTGATTTGTTTTGAGGAGGGAGTAATACACTAAATCTTTGCGAAAGGTCTAAGGCACGAAAAATCATAGCGGTTAATTTGTTGTTTTCCCCTGCTGCTTAGATGTTAAATATATGACTGTCTCGATCTCATATATACTATTTTCCATACCAAACATAGCATCTTATATTCTTATTTTTGTCAATTCATTACTTTAGCTCTCTTTATTCTAATACCAACTGCATTGTACTACCCTTTCTTGACGTCTTCATGTTCCTGTTCCATCCTGGAGAAGTTTGCTGGGTTTTCCACAAGCAACCATAGTTTACTGGCAGTCTAGCATAGGCAAGTAGATTTCATCATTGCAGCACACTGCATCTGCAGTTGTTTAAACCAAATTTTGTGAGAGTGAACACATTGTACTGGGAACGACCTTATATAATAAATAAGATAATCATCAGTCTAATCTGTTTAGGTTGCAACCATCCCCAGATGACATCTTAATAGGACCTCACTGTACCAAATTGGCTTACTATATCATCTCGAAATCCTAGCCTGGCCAACTTACAACAACTAAAGCAGTCTTCAGAACTGCTGCTTTTACCTTCCTCACATACGCCTTCCTCACCGTAGTGCTCCCATTTGTGTTTCATGCTTCCCCTGCAATGCTCTCCGGTCTCCATGATTCTTCTGCTTTGCTTCTTCTGGAGATCTATTCTTCTGAAGGATGAGCTCTTCATCGATGCGAAGAGTCAGTGCGGTTTACAGGGCTCCGGTGTGCCCTAGGATCACCCCTAAGCCTTGTAAACCGCACGATTCCTCATGTCAGCCAGAATAGCTTGCAGCGAATGCATCTGGGTTTCATCGTATTCAACTTTGCTGACTGGTGATGGGTTCTTTTTCTCCTTCCAAAATAGTATGATTTATTTTTGTTGTGCAAACACAACTGGGTTTCATCATATCCAACTTTGGTGACTGTTGATGGGTATTTTTCTCCTTCCAAATATGATTTATTTTTCTTTGTGATCATGTGCCATATTAGTGCATGTTTGGATTCTGAGGTTTAAGTCCAGTTCAAATTGAAGTAAATCATGGGAAGTTTGACCCAATCCCCCGGAGTTGCAGATAAGTCCCTGAGCACATGTAGATACTTCATCAGTCTAATTTTCTGAAAGCAGTTGCACTCATGAACTCCGCAACACATTTGCGAACAACAAAAATACCAGAGAATCATGTTTTGTTTAATCTCTTGCTTTTGTTGTCAGTCTCAGCTTTCAAATGGGATTGGAGTCAGGAGTCAGCATACATGTATTCAATAGGTTCAATCTTTGGTGTGACCATAGAACCATGAGCTATACACTCAAATCTTCACTCTATGTATTATTCTTCGTCATCCATTATTTTGAACATAGTATTGCTAAACATATGTTATCTAAATGATTTATCATAACTGTCGCACATCACAAAACATTGCTGTTGCTAGAACAATGGAGCTGTTTGTTTCAGCGTTTTCACCCGGTGACCCGTTCACAGCGCCAGCCACATCCTCATCACCTGTCAGCTTTACCCTGAAAGAATCACCACTCCGGCGCGCACACTAGGCCCAGCGGCCTACGTCCCTTTATCCAACTCTTCTCAGAGCGTGGTCCAACTCTACCGTGGCTTGCCGCCTTCTTCAGTATCGCGACAGCCGACAGATGTCCAAAATAGAATCTAAAATACTAGCAAGCACTTATAAAATCAACTAGCTATTACTAATATTTCCTGATGAGACGAGGCATCATGCATTGTCGTACATTATCTGGAACAGAGTGTTCTCAAGATACACTGTCCCCATACCATAATTTAGCAGAACTTCAGGGAGAATAGCTCATCTGTTGCTACAACATTTTATTATGATTATTTTAACAACTCTATTTCCTTGGTGTATCTGCATAGTTCCAATTAGTAGGGCCGAAAGAAGTGTTCTGTCTCGCACCAGCAACATCTTCTTCGCGTATCTCGCTGCTAATTTCTTTCAGATCATCATCCGTTAACTTCACCTTCAAGGAGTCAATGTTGGCATCCAGATTCTTGATCTTGGTTGTTCCTGAGTAAATTTTAGAGAATATCTCTGTCAAACTAAATGCTGGCAGTGGAACTATTCAAACACTCTGGTCATAAGCTTGACCACTGATGATTTGCTTGGAACTTGGAAGTGAATAATAAACCAATAAGGGTTCAAGGATGGCACATATGCATGTTTGGAACCAATGTTGACATTTTGCAGCTTAGCAAATGAATCATACATCACTCAGTAGTTAGCAAAAGGCCTTATACCACTTAGATACACATTTGAAAGGGAGCTCTCTATGTTATCTGAATGTGCTTTCTGTTCCTCAGTCAAACCAAATATATAGCCTGTTCGCTTGTTGGTTTCAGCCAGGGCTTATCAGCCAGCCAACAGTGTTTTTCTCTCACAACAAACCAGCACCAGCCGAGCTTATCAGCCCAGAAACCAACCAGCGAACATGCTCATAGTTATTACTAAAGACGGATGCCTTTTAGATCATTTATCTTATTTTCTGCACCTATTTACGACTTCAGAATGCTAGATTTCAGTCTTCACTAAAAGAATAGACAACAAACTTTTTGATAATTATATATTGTATGAAGTATTGAGAAGGTAGCAATATAAAGTACTGATATGGCATTAATGTTATCAAACTGGAATTACAAAGCCACACCTGGTATAGGAACCACATCGTCCCCTTGATGCAGAACCCAAGCTAGAGCTAGCTGAGCAGGGCTGCACCGGTGCTTCTTGGCCAGCTCTTCCATTTTCAGATAAATTTGCTTGTTCTTCTCCAGATTTTCTGCTGAAAACCTTGGGTGCCTTCGCTGATAAAACAAAGTAAAAATGCTTAAGGAATGATGTTTCAAGGAAAAATCTTACTATTACTACTGGACACTCCAACAAAGTCTCCATGTTAATTTTTACGAGAAATGCTAGAAAGAAAGATAAGCCCTAAAAATTACCATGAAAATTCGAAAGATCTGACCTCAATTTGATGGACTCCAATCAATATTGATACTAATAATCACTAGATCTAATATTTTTTTTTCTAAAAAAAGGCCCACCTCTTCCGATAGGAGAAACATAAACAAAACCCATAAATTTACCATAAAAAATTACCCACCTGCCATTATGATAGATAATCTAAATAATCTCTTTATATTTTCAACTAAACTACCCACTTTGTCATTATTAAAAGTAAACTAAAATACTACTCAATCTACATCTAAATTATAATCATACACTATTATAAAAAAGTTTAAAAGCAACCATACTATTATCATGTAATAAGCTAACTTACAATAAGCGCACATGTTCCATTGTCAAATCATGTAACAATGGCACTGACAGTTCATTTTAAATTATTTTAAATTATATTAATATTCATGAAAATAATTTATGTAAGTTGTTAGTTATATAGATTTATTTATACATTTGACCGAAACATTATGACATATCGATATTAAAAAGTATAAATGTTAGTACTCTATTTTTTGAAAAAAAAATATTACATCAAATATAACATTAGCACCGTTGTCCCCTCATATAGTCATATTCAAGCTACATCACGATAATGAGTAGTGCGGTGCAAGCTTAAATGATCTTTTATCCAATCATAGTAATTAATAGTGTAGTTTAAGACATAAAATTCATATTTTAACAAAGTACAAAAGGAGAGTTTTGAATAGAACGTATAATAGAAATAAGACATGTGGACAAAACAATGTAGCAACAACTAATGAGATCAAAATTTTATAGTCAAAATATAAAATCATGGTATCACACAAAACATCCGGTTGTAACAAGAGCTATCATAACTTAAGATAATGTTTGAACGGAATGCATTTTGATGACACATTGACATGCGAAGAGTGAAAACCGTGCATATTGATGGTAAAACATGTAAAGTAAATTCATCACAAATGGATAGAGAACGTAGAGTATGTATATAGGCAAAGTGTTACAAAACAAACAAAGATAATAGAGTGTGTGAAGATAAATAATTTTAACTAGATGGGACTGTATGCAAACTTTTAAAACTTATCTTTTCAAAAGAAAAAGTCTTTTTTTGATCACCGAACCATCAAACTCCAAAATGAAATATCTTTTACCATCCAACTATCAAATTCAGACAAATTTAGCCATGTATAGGTTTTAAAAGTTAAAGGTGGTTTTGCCTGTATATGTATTACTACAAAAAAATATGAATGAATACTTAAAAAATTATAACTAGTACCAAATTTTTTCTAAAATATAATCTATCTATTGCTAGTCTATTTAGAATTATTAAAATCTTAATTACCTGTTCCTACTACTAGTGTTTTATTGCTCATAGTTGTGACCATTATTTATTTAAATTATTGTTTTGCTCTATATTAGACCAGGAGCTCAACCAAAAGGACCCAATGAATTTTGAATACAAGGAAGATCTCAAAGGTGATGCCAGCCTCGTGCATGCTCCAAGACATAAATCGTATTTGGGTGTCGCATGTCTAGCTAGTGCATAACTTT